TATTTTTTACTGGAAATGTTTAATAGCAAAAAGTCCAAAGTATTGTTTTTTTTTTTCTCAAAATTGTCGGTGTTTTTTTTTTCTAGTGCAAAAAAAACCGCACAGGTGATCAAATACCACCGAAAGAAAGCTCAATTCGTGGGAAAAAAGGACATACAGGTGAAACCTGAAAAATTAGAATATCGTGCAAAAGTTCATTTATTTCAGTAATGCAACTTAAAAGCTGAAACTAATATATGAGATAGACTCATTACATGCAAAGCAAGATAGTTCAAGCCGTGATTTGTCATCATTGTGATGATTATGGCTTACAGCTCATGAAAACCCCAAATCCACAATCTCAGAAAATTAGAATATTGTGAAAAGGTGCAATATTCTAGGCTCAAAGTGTCCTACTCGAATCAGCTAATTAAGCCATAACACCTGCAAAGGGTTCCTGAGCCTTTAAATGGTCTCTCAGTCTGGTTCAGTAGGAATCACAATCATGGGAAAGACTGCTGACCTGACAGTTGTGCAGAAAACCATCATTGACACTCTCCATAAGGAGGGAAAGCCTCAAAAGGTAATTGCAAAAGAAGTTGGATGTTCCCAAAGTGCTGTATCAAAGCACATTAATAGAAAGTTATGTGGAAGGGAAAAGTGTGGAAGAAAAAGGTGCACAAGCAGCAGGGATGACCGCAGCCTGGAGAGGATTGTCAGGAAAAGGCCATTCAAAAGTGTTGGGGACTTTCACAAGGAGTGGACTGAGGCTGGAGTCAGTGCATCAAGAGCCACCACACACAGACGGATCCTGGACACGGGCTCCTGAACAACAAACAACGTCAGAAGCGTCTTACCTGGGCTAAAGAAAAACAGACCTGGTCTGTTGCTCAGTGGTCCAAAGTCCTCTTTTCTGATTAGAGCAACTTTTGCATTTCATTTGGAAACCAAGGACCCAGAGTATGGAGGAGGAATGGAGAGGCACACACTGCAAGATGCTTGAAGTCCAGTGTGAAGTTTCCACAGTCTGTGTTGATTTGGGGAGCCATGTCATCTGCTGGTGTTGGTCCACTGTGCTTCATTAAGTCCAGGGTCAACGCAGCCGTCTACCAGGAGATTTTGGAGCACTTCATGCTTCCTTCCGCAGACGAGCTTTATGGGGATGCTGACTTCATCTTCCAGCAGGACTTGGCACCTGCCCACACTGCCAAAAGCACCAAACTTGGTTCAATGACTGTGGGATTACTGTGCTTGATTGGCCAGCAAACTCGCCTGACCTGAACCCCATAGAGAATCTATGGGCATTGCCAAGAGAAAGATGAGAGACATGACACCGAACAATGCAGAAGAGCTGAAGACCGCTATTGAAGCATCCTGGTCTTCCATAACACCTCAGCAGTGCCACAGGCTGATGGCTTCCATGCCACGCCGCATTGAGGCAGTAATTGCTGCAAAAGGGGCCCAAACCAAGTACTGAGTACATATGCATGCTTATACTTTTCAGAGGTCCGATATTGTTCTATGTACAATCCTTGTTTTATTGATTGCATGTAATATTCTGATTTTCTGAGATTGTGGATTTGGGGTTTTCATGAGCTGTAAGCCATAATCCTCACAATTATGACAAATCACGGCTTGAAGTATCTTGCTTTGCATGTAATGAGTCTATCTCATATATTAGTTTCACCTTTTAAGTTGCATTACTGAAATAAATGAACGTTTGCACAATATTCTAATTTTTCGAGGTTCAACTGTAAATTTAATTTGGGTGCAGCGTTGCATGACCACGCAATTGTCAGTTAAAGTAATGCAGCACCGTAACACAAAAAATGGCCTGATCAGGAAGGGGGGAAAATCCTCAGTAGGGCATGTGGTTAAAGCTGATCACACTGAGCATAAAAAATAAAAATTCCCTAGTAAACTATTTGTTAAAATTCTTACCCCACTTGCAGTTTACAACTTTTATGTGGCTGCTGGGACTGGGGAGACAGAAGGCTTTAACGCCAAGCAGCTGCATCTATGCGTTCATGGGGAATGGTTTTCTGTGTTAAGAGATAACACAGGATGCTCCTGATGTATATTTCCAATCATGTGACCGCTGTGACAGCCAATCACTGCAGACATAAAATCAGAATGCCCTCCCCACCTCCCGGCATTTAGATTCTCTTAAAGAGCCAGGGGTTAGGCTTTATATTCTAATGTGTAAGACGTTTCTGCATTGCATTTTGCGTTTTAGTACTTGCATTTTTGCTGTGTTTTTTATGCTTTTTGTTTTATTTTTGTTGTTGCTAGGCAGATTTAAAATGCAAAACAGATAACAAACGCAGCAAAAATGCAGCAAAAACACAATACATGCGTTTCTGCAGCATTACCATTGAAGTCTATAGAACAAAAAACACACAACTTTTTGCATTAAAAAAAGTCCCAGACCCTTTCCAAAAAACGCACCAGGTGAAAACGTTCAGATGTGAACATGTCCCAGAGGAAATCATGTTAAATTGACTGTACTGCATTTCTGTAAAATGCAAAACGGTGTAGAAAACGCTTACGTGTGAACCAAGGGTAAGGCAGAGTCTGTGACAAAGTACCAGAGCGTTCCATGGCTTTACAGTGAATAGGGGCCATACTGCAACACCAATGCACATCATTGAAAAACTTGCATTGATGCCCCTTATTGCACATATTTTCTCATCTAATACTGAGGCACCTCCTCCAGCTCCATAGTGACTCTCAGGATGCAAGGCTATCACTGGTCAGTATTTGAAAGATGAAGGGAAGGGAAGATGTTGTCCAGTCCTAAACTTTACATAGCCCTGCCAGACATCAGATCCAACAAATACCAAAAAAACAGCGCTCAGATCTTCATGTTACACAGAAAACACGGAATCTAACACTCGCTGAGGTGCCGCCCTTGATAGATCGGGGAATCTTGATGCTGGCAAAAAAAGAATAAAAAACAGGGCGCGCTCTCCTCGTGCACTACCGTTATATATAGGAAATTTATTGTAAAATCACAAATGCATACTCACAAACCAAAAAGGTCATAAAAACAGACAAGGAACCAAAAATGACAATCGCGGACAGCGGAGGTCCTTGGGTAAAAAATGCTAACACGTTTCGGGAGTCGAGCTCCCTTCCTCAGAGCAGTCTTATTCTTTTTTGCAGACATCAGATCCAAGTTTGTGGGCTGATGTCTCACTGTTGCAGTTAGTAATTATTATTTATTTCAGGTACTTATATAGCGCCATCAACTTACGCAGCACTTTACATATATATTGTACATTCACATCAGTTCCTGCAAAGATTCAACCTATGTCTGTAGCCCTTTATCGTCTTCAGTAATTTCTAGCCTCTAAGCTCAGTAGAAATAAAGCTTTAAACACCAAAGTGTGCAAGCTAAATCTCTGAAAGTTTAACCACATGCCTCCCAGCCACTGTAGAAATACGACGGCAGGGTGGCACGTCTGGGCAAAACCACGTTTTAAAACGTGTGTTTTTAAAAACAGGTAGGGGGCGCGCGCGAGGCGCGCGCTGCCCTACCTGTCCCGCCGATCACAGCCGCAGTTGTCAGTCGCCGGGTCACAGCCGGTCGTTACCGGCTACGTCCCGGCGATCGGCGGCAATCGCTGACAGAGAGCACAGTTGCAGTAGCTGTGCTTTCTGTCAGTTCCCTGACAGCTCCTGACACGCTGATTGGGACAGAAGAGTTTTTCTCTCCCGATCAGCGGTGTTCCCTGCAGTACACACCCCCACCCCCGCCCCCTAGTAAAACACTCCCCTCACACAGTTAACCCTTTCCCTGAATAATAAACTTAACACCTTCCTCCCCAGTGCCATTGGTACAGTGTCAGTGGGTTTTTTTTTTGCACTGATCACTGTATTGGTGTCACTGGGTATGTCAGTGACCACAAGTCAGTACCCCCCAATGTCAGAATGTCCGCCGCAGTCCCACCATAAGTCGCTGATCGCCGCCATAAGTCACTGCTCGCCGCCATTATTAGTATAAAAAAAAACTATAAAAATCCGCTATAAAATTTCACGTAAACCAATTAATTTACACGTATTGGGTTTTTTTTTTAGCAAAGACATGTCGCAGAATGCATTTTGGCAGAAATTTATGACTAAATTTGATTTTTTAATTTTTTTTACTGGACATGTTTTATAGCAAAAAGTCCAAAATATTGTTTTTTTTTCCTCAAAATTGTAAGGATTTTTTTTTTTTATAGCTCAAGAAATAAAAACCGCACAGACGATCAAATACCATCGAAAGAAAGCTCAATTTGTGGGAAAAAAAATGGTTGTAAATTTCATTTATGTACCATATTGCATGACCGCACAATTGTCCGTTAAACTAGCGCAGCGCTGTATATAGTAAAAAAAAAATGGTGTAAATTGCAGAATTTATACCATAGTTTGTAGACGCTATAACTTTCACACAAAGCAATCAATATACACTTATTGGGATTTTTTTTTACCAAAAACATGTAGCAGAATACATTTTGGCCTAAATTTATAACTAACTTTGAGTTTACTATATATTTTTTATAGCTGAAAGTAAAAAAATTATGTTTTTATTCAGAATTTTTGGCCTTTTTTTGTTTATAGCTTGAAAAATAAAAAGCACACAGGTGATCAAATACCACCGAAAGAAAGCTCTATTTGTGTGAAAAAAAGGATGTAAATTTCGTTTGGGTGCCCTCTGGAGGTCAAGTGGTTAATGCATGCTACCAGTTTTTACAAATTCAGAATGACCAACGAAATATTGTAATAACCAATGAAATATTACACTCTTATCAAGAAAGATAACAACCACAAATGACTGAAGACCACCATATAGGTCAGTTCCGTTTCTTCAGTATAGAAACTGAGTTCTGGAAACAGAGAGTTATTACAAATAACATATTGAAACAACACTAACTTGTTCACACATCTAAAATGGAGGCATTAAACACAATGGATGCCAGTTAATAAGACATTTTTCCTTACAGTCCCTAACCCCCAAGAGGTGTACAATCTAAGGTTCCTAACTCACATTCATACATACACATACTAGGGTCAATTTAAAAGGATCCAATTAACCTACCAGCCAGGGGCGGACTGACAACTCATGGGGCCCCCGGGCAATAGGGGATCATGGGGCCTCTGTGTCCTTGCCCAAACTCAAAAAAGCCTATGAAAAAGGTACCAGGGGCATCTCATACTGACCCTGGGCCCCTGGGCAGTGCCCGAGTTTCCAAATGGTCAGTCTGCCCCTGCTACCAGCATATCTTTGGAGTGTGGGAGGAAACTGGAGCACCCAGAGGAAACCCACGGAGGCACAGGGAGAACATGGAAACTCCAGGCCGTGGTTGGGATTTGAACCAATAACACTAGTACTGCCAGGCGGAAGTGCTAACAACTTAGCCACTGTACTGCCCGTAAAGTCAACTAGGTCACCTCACTGCCTAGCATTTGACTGGGCTTTGAAAGAGCAGCAGAAGACTGATGAGATCATTCACCCTGTCAAAATTTCTAATCAGCACATGTGCATGCAGTACACCTTATTGCCCCCTACTACTGAACCTCCCTCTTCCATTCTGTCCAAGGAGAAGAAGCAGCTCATATCATGTGAAATTCAGGTACCAAACCTAGCTCCATTCAGAATAATATATTTCAGGGTTTTTTACAGCCTATGCCATGTTCACTTGTGTTTTACTAATATACAGTAAGTGTATAAGCGTAAGCCTTGTAAAGGTTATTTTGAGAATAACTGGGAAATAGCTTTAGAGATATTTTACAAAAAATAATAAGTCTATGACATAAAGAAATGCAGTAATGTGAAGGCCAGTGTAAATGTCAAATAATGACTCAAATAGTGCCTTAAAATAGTAGAAACTAGACCAGTTTCACTACATGCGGTTTTTTTCCTTCTGATACCATTATTCCTAAACCAAGTGACTCAAGACTTTCTGCATGTCTAGACTCAGGACTTATATTTTTGCTACAGATTTAAGGATTTAATAAGGGTGAGGTAATGATATTCCTTCTCCGGGCACCTTAAATGATCTTGTTCTGGCAGTGAGTTTGTACAGGGAGTCAAGCCTTCCTGAAATAATCTTGTCTATTTGCAGTTATTTTTATAGTACTAACTTCATAAAGCCAGAGTTATAAAAATGTCAGCTACCTCTTTCCTTACTAGTAAATCTGTGAGTGTCATCTGCCATCAAGTTTCATCAAATATAACATTTTCTGATGTGTGACATCTAATTAAACATCGATCAATCATTTGTATGGTCACAAGTTTACTGGAGAAAAAACAATTCCCTTTAGTGGAATGACATACTGAACATCACAGAGATTTAGCAAACTTTACTGCCGATTCTAACCTGCTTCTGTTCTAGAGATTTTGACCTATGTCCAAGCAGCAGTTTCTAAAACTGAGTGATAAATGGAAGGGTATTCCCTTAACCCCTGGTTCACATACATGCGACCGTATGGGACGCATTTTGCGAAGGCACAAGAGCCCATTCATTTGAATGGACTCCCGTGCCCCAGGACACGCAGGGAAGAAGTCCCTGCACTTCTGTGGAAACCGCAGTCTGCACAGGAACCTCGGTTCCCAGTACGGTTGCGATTTCCAGTGCGTGCGGCGTGCCATTAGAATTAATGGCACCTGCCCGCGGGTCCGCATTCTTCTGTGTGGGTGGTGCAGCTACACGGATTTTTGTGCGGATCTGCAGCAACACCACCCGCACATATGTGAACCAGAGCTTTGTCCTCATGCACACTGGATGTTTTTACAGCGGCTGTTTTTGGCATTTGACTTTTTTCTACAGCCAGTAAACCTCCCAGCATGTTGTCCTCTGTGTCCATGCACACATAGACTGTAATAAATGCTTTTTTGGCTGGGACATTTTTGGCTGGAAAAAAACCCCAGAACTAGTGGGTTTCTAGAGGAGTTTTTTAGCTGTAAAAACGCTCTAACGCTGAAAAACACAACAAAACGTGGTAAAACGTTTTTGACCAACTTTTTTGGGGTAAAAAAATGCAAAATAATGCAAACACTGGAAAACACTATTAAACGCTAATGCAAAAATGCACGTTTTTAATGTGACTTTATACAGCTAATGTTACCAGCGTTATCAAAACACGTCCAGTGTGCATGAGGGCTTATAATCATCACCATATCAGCCTCACTGGTGTAGTCTCTGCTTGAAAGAATCTTAAATGCACTCAAATATAACTGCACTTACTTTGGGAAAAAAATCAAACTCATCCGGGTGATCTATGTACCTTGCAGGGGTTTTAACAGACTTTGTAGCAGATTCCTACCTTTTGTTGCTCTGAAGAAATAGCTATTTGATTCACTTGTCTTTTGCAAACTGAATTTGAATGGGAGCAACTGGCTCATTAGAGACCCAGATCTGGGGGGGTGGGGTATGCTATGCCCCCTCAAATTAAATCCCCCCCCCCAGGTCTCTGAGAGTGCATTCCATGATCCATGGGCCAGTGTGTTGGGGACAATTGATGTAAGATGGCACTCTGATGGGGACAAATGATGTATGGCTGCTCTCTGATGGGGACAGTTGATGTATGGCTGCACTCTGATGGGGACAGTTGACATAAGGGGGAACTCTGATGGAGACAAATGATGTATGGCTGCACTCTGATGGGGACAGTTGACGTAAGGGGGAACTCTGATGGAGACAAATGATGTATGGCTGCACTGTGATGGGGACAGTTGACGTAAGGGGAAACTCTGATGGAGACAAATGATGTATGGCTGCACTCCGATGGGGACAGTTAATGTAAGGGGGAACTCTGATGAGGACAAATGATGTATGGCTGCACTCTGATGGGGACAGTTGACGTAAGGGGGAAACTCTGATGGAGACAAATTATGTATGGCTGCACTCTGATGGGGACAGTTGACGTAAGGGGGATCTCTGATGGAGACAAATTATGTATGGCTGCACTCTGATTGGGACAGTTGACGTAAGGGGGAACTCTGATGAGGACAAATGATGTATGGCTGCACTCTGATGGGGACAGTTGATGTAAGGGGGAACTCTGATGAGGACAAATGATGTATGGCTGCACTCTGTTGGGGACTCTGAAGTAAAAGAGGACTCTGATAAGGACACCTAATATAAGGGGGCACAGGTTCTTTCTATTCATCCTAATCTATTGACATACAAGTGTTCTCTGTTCACTCCTGCACTGCCTCTGCACTACCAGTAAGACATTGCTTCCAGGCCATGACTTACAGAAGCATAAATATTGGTTCCCTGCATCTGTGCAGACAGTCAGTGACTGAACCCCCAGATCATAAAGGCTTGATCAGACCCTGGTTCATTATAATCACCTAGTGCACGCTCAATATTCTAATGAGAAACACTACAGAATCTGCATCCCTGTAGAAGTATTTAATCCATGGGGAGTATTTCACCTAAACTGAAAATCCTATTACAGGGGGTGCCTAAAATTGTACTTGTATCCTAGTGCAGACTTCTGGGAAAATAACGCAAGCAGGAAATGACACTTCTAGGGTGTTCTGTATACCATACCACCGCTGAACACCTCTAGGTTGCCATTTTGTATTGAATTTTACATAACATGAAAGCGGTTACAGATGGAATAGGAAAGGTCATTTTCAATAATAATAAATTACAGCATAGTTTGTGTAGCAATTGTGTAAGCAGCTGAGGTATTACAGTGCTGGTTGTGTTCAGTATTTTCTGAGTTGTACTTTCTTCTGTGTAAGGCTGCGTTCACACTGAGGAGTTTTTTTCAAGCATTTTTGCATTACAAATCGCCTGAAAAGCTGAAGAAAACTGCTTCCCTATGTATGTGAATGTATATCTACAGTATGTATGTTCTCACACTGAGGCATTGCGCTTGCGGTGCGGTGTAAAAACCCCTGCTTGCAGGATCTTTGGGGCAGGTTTGTGGAGTTAAAAAAAAAACGTGACAAAAACACCTCTTCCCAATTTAATCAATGGAAAAACGCCTCAAAAAAGCCTATGAGAAATGGTTTTGGTGCCATTTTCAAGTTACGTGTCCTTCAAAAAATGCCCAGAAAGTGCGGCAAAAGCGTGGTAAAAACGCCTATGCGTTTTTGCTGTGTTTTTGTGGCGGATCAGTATGAAAGCCTTAATTGTACTACTTAGTTATTGTTTCACAGCAGAATTTGGTGATTCCTGAGAAGCTAGGGTTAAGGCTACTTTCACACTGAGGAGTTTTTCAAGCGTTTTTGCGCTACAAAAAGCGCCTGAAAAGCTCAAGAAAAAAGCTTCCCTGTGTATGTGAATGCATATCTATGTGTGTTTTCACAATGAGGAGTTGTGCTTGCGATGTGGTGTAAACACTCCTGCTTGCAGCATCTTTGAGGCATGTTTGGGGAGTTAAAAAGAAACGCCCCAAATATGCCTCTTCCCATTGAAATCAATGGAAAACGCCTCAAAAATGCCTATGAGAAGCGTTTTTAGTGCAGTGTTAAGTCCTTTAAAAAACACGGCACAAATGTGGTAAAAACCCCTATGCGTTTTTTAGGTGTTTTTGCGGCAGATCAGTGTGAAAGTAGCCTTCTGCTGTCTAGACTTTCTCTGGTTTTTCTGCACAGCCCTGCCCCCTGCTGGAGGAACATATGAAATGACATCAGGTTGTGTGAGTAAGCTCCAAAATGGGAAGTAGAGAGGAGATGCTGCCACTATGCGAGAGAACTCTGCCTTCATGTGCCCCTTCGGGGGGGAACCCAGCTGGGGGTTCCAAGGACATGGACTTTATAAGCTTTAAAGTGGAAGTAAACTCTATTTTGCCCCTTTTACCTACAGGTAAGACTTTAATAAGCCTTACCTTAGGTACTGTAAATATCTCCTAAACGTGCACCCTGAAGGAAGACGATAGACATGAATGAAGCTCCGTTCACTCATGCGTGGGAGTGAAGAGATCGTGGTTTGGCCAATCAGATGGTCGCAGCTTGTGAGCCTGGATGGAAGACGATGGATGTGGCTGAAACTCCGTTCATGCATGCGTGGGAGTGAAGACATCGTGGTTTGGCCAATTAGATGGTCGCAGCTCATGAGCCCGGAAGGAAGACGATGGGCGTGGCCAAAACTCTGTTCGCACATGCATGGGAGTAACAACATTGTGGTTTGGTCAATCAGATGGTCACAGCTCGTGAGCCCAGAAGGAAAACGATGGATGTGGCTGAAACTCCGTTCATGCATGCATAGGAAGACGACATCGTGGTTTGGCCAATCAGATGGTTGCAGCTTGTGAGCACGGAAGGAAGACGATGGACGTGGCCGAAACTCTGTTCGCGCATGCATGGGAGTAACAACATCATGGTTTGGCCAATCAGATGGTTTCAGCTTATGAGCCTGGAAGGGAGACGATGGACGTGGCCAAAACTCTGTTCACGCATGCATGGGAGTGACGACATCTTGGTTTAGCCAATCAGATGGTCGCAGCTTGTGAGCCTGGATGGAAGACGATGGATGTGGCTGAAACTCCGTTCATGCATGCGTGGGAGTGATGACATCGTGGTTTGGCCAATCAGATGGTTTCAGCTTGTGAGCCCGGAAGGGAGACGATGGACGTGGCCAAAACTCTGTTCGTGCATGCGTGGGAGTGACAACATTGTGGTTTGGCCAATCAGATGGTCGCAGCTCATGAGCCTGGAAGGAAGACGATGGATGTGGCTGAAACTCCGTTCATGCATGCGTGGGAATGACAACATCTTGGTTCGGCCAATCATATGGTCGCAGTTCTTGAGCCCAATGGCCGCCTCAGGAAGCCGTGACAGCGCTCCGTTGGAGGGCTTTGTTTCCAGGTCTTTTATAATGCATTGCATACTAGCACATTATGCCCTTAACTTGCGGGGAGATTTTGTAGTATTTTTTTTTTCTCGCCGTTTACTACCGCTTTCTGCATTGTTGAGGTCTGATACTTATGGGGCAAGAGGGCTACCTGAATCATGCTGAAGAAAATGCACCATGCTGCGAGCTGTAATGTAAGAAGCATTTTCTAGTAAAGAAAGAGTTTTGCTGTTAATTAACCCTGCCTGATCTGAATTTACTAACAGGATACATGGATGGCGTATCAAAGAACAGGGCTTTTACAAAAGGGGATGAAGAGGAGAAGCTAAATGTCCACCACGAAAGGGTTAATCATACTGTGCAGTTGGCGGGAGATGAGGTACATTGCCGTTGCCATGAGCAACCAAGAAGTGGCAGAGAATGTTACAGCGTCCGGTCAAGGGGAGTTATGTGACTTGGCGTGGGAGGCGGGGACCCTGCTAGTGAGGGGCTGGTGAGCTTGACCCCCTCCTTTGCGATTGGTACCCCATAATTGAGACAGACAACATGGCACAGGGATCTCATGCACCTAGCTTGGAGGTCACAACGAGGAAGAGAAATGGATCCACATAAAGTGTTCGAGCTTGTTATGCAGGCCATACATGGGTTGAATTCCGAACAAATTTTTGTTAGCAAATCGGAAATTTTGTGCGTTTTGTAATCTGACCATTGATTTTGAAATTCAACCAACCAAGCCTTCAATTTCACCTCATGTTGCTACAGAAAAGAATTTGTGGCTAAGAATTTTCTTTTCTTTGCAGGTCACAGCTCATGCTCATTTCTTTTTTGTTTATATTTCTCACACGATTCTCCCATCATTTATTCGAAATGTCTTTGTTTTTCAAAAAATTTCCAACATGCCCGATCACTCAGATTCAATGGTGGTCACGAAAATCTTCAGTTTCTGTGACCCACTAATGGTGCAAAATTCAAACGAAAATTCTTGGAAAAGATTTTAGAAAGAAGATTCTTTGGAAATTCGACCCATGTACGGCCGGCTTTAGTAACAGAGAACTGTGCTGTGTTCTCACATTGTGACTGAGATGGAGGTGACAATCATGGCTGTGTTGATGGAGCAGGGCACAGGCTCTGCAGTGTCCGCTCAGCAATTCTGCATTTGTGATAAGAGCAGAAGGTGTACAGTCACATGGGATGAGGGTTCAACAGAAGAGCGTACAAAAAGTATCCATGTGGAGACAGAAATCAAAAAGCATAAAAAGTGTACTAAGATGGCCACAGCTCCAACCATCAGCAGCAGCGGCGTGATGTCAGCAATGCGTTTCGTGCGCATGCACGTCCTCAGGGGTACGCCTATGACACTTTTTATGCTTTTTGATTTCTGTCTCCACGTGGATACTTTTTGTGTTCCAATAAATGCTACACTATATGCAACTTTATTGGCTCCTGTGGTGAGCTATTCCCTCTAGGACATGGGCTGACTTCCCATTCGAGTGCTCAGGACGAATTTGGTCCAGTTTAACCCTTTGGCCGCCTTCCATTCTCAGATGTTTAATGCTTGATTGCCTGGTGAGTGTACATCCGAGAGAGGTGGTGGACTCTTTTGTTTGATCATCAGCACATTTGCACTCTGCACCTTAACCTCCTCCCGCCCGCCATATAAGGAAATGATGGGCGCAAGGTGACTCTCTCATTCTAGGAGGACGTCATATGACATCCTCCCACTCTAACTGCACTTGCACGGCTCTGGGAGCGCGCAGTGTGGCGATCAGTGGGCACAGCGGATCACTGATCAACAGAAAGAGCCAAAGACGTTGGCTCTGTCAGGTGATCAGCGGTGTCCAATCACAGCTGATTGCATGTAAATATGGAAATGCCAGTTATCAGCATTTCTGTCCTCACGAGCTGTCACACTGACAGCTTGTGAGGAGAGGAGAGCCAGTAATCGGCATTCCTCAGAGAGGACATGTACATTGATCATCAGTGTGCCCTGATGATCAGTGTAACTCCACCAGTGCCACCTGTCAGTGTCCATCAATGCCAGCTGTCAGTGCTCATCAATGCCACCTATCAGTGCCACATCAATACCACATATCAGTGCCCATCTGAGCTGCCTTTCAGTGCGACCTATCAGTGCCAGTCAGTGCCGCCTATCAGTGCCATCAGTGCCGCCTATCAGTGCCGCCTATCAGTGCCCGTCAGTGCCGCCTATCAGTGCCAGTCAGTACCGCCTATCAGTGCTGCCAATCAGTGCTGCCTATCAGTGCCATATATAAGTGCTGCCTTTCAGTGCCCATCAGTGATGCCTGTCAATGCCCATCAGTGCCGCCTACCAGTGCCTCCTCATCAGTGCCCATCAGTGCCGCCTACCAGTGCCCATCGCTGCAGCCTCACCAGTGAAGGAGAAAAATCACTTATTTACAAAATTTTATAACAGAAACTAAGAAAAAAACTTTTTTTCTCTTAAAAATTTTCAGTTGTATTTGGTTTGCTTAGCAAAAAATACAAAATCCAGAGGTGAATAAATACCACCAAAATAAAGCTCTATCTTTCTCAAAAAAAGATAAAAATTTCATATGGGTACAATGTTGCATCACCACGCAATTGTCATTCAAAGTGTGACAGCGCTGAGAGCTGAAAATTGGCCTGGACAAGAAGGGGGTATAAGTGTCCTGTAGACAAGTGGTTAATTATACTGCGCCTTATGGTTTCACGGACAATTGCTTCCATTCATGGATATTTGACTATATAAATAGCACGTTTAACCACAGACATTGATGTAGAGTTTTATCCTGTTTATATATCTCAGATTTTATATGTTTATTGTAACATCATTTACTACTGCACTTTACTTCATGCATTACCACGGACATTATTGTATTTAGATTCTGCCCATGATACACTTTATTGTTTGGTATTTGCTTTTTGAGCTGTTTAGCTGATATTTTCATGCTTTTACTTGATGCACTTTACTGTTTCACTCAGTTCATTACATTTATGATGCAATTTACCATATTGTTTGACTTTTAGATTTCACATTCTCTTATGGTTTTTGCACTTTTATCTGTTGCACTTTACCATTCCGCAATATATATTTTTTTTTTCAGAGCTGCACTTTTTTACATATACTATTGTAGGAGACTGTTACCTTTACCTTGTGTGCTAGCTGCTCCCCAGATATTGCCAGCTCTCACCTACGTATATATTAGATTCTATCCTTTAGATTTTACTGAAAACTCTGTGCACCGTTCTGCTAAAAGAAAGTTATGCTAATTGTAAGCAGGAGTATGAGAATGCTGGGTCACTACGTACAAAGATTTCTGCTGCCATAGTTACAAAGAAGCAGAATTTGATTTTTTTTTTGGTATTTTAATAAAATGACACTTTAACAAAAGATTTATTTTAAATTTCATAATCCGACATTTCAGTAGAATGCCTTTTCTTTTCTCCTCACAAGGATAACACGCAGGTCCCAAGGTTCTGTTCTAATATCTAATGGCGATATTAGCAATTGGTCACCATGTCTATCTAAGCTTGCAGGGAAGATCCTCATTTTCTATTCATGATCATCAGGTTGCACTGTAGTGTATACGGCTACCTACCTATGGTTAGCAGGATTTTCAGAGAAAGGGGACCTATCATTATGGAACAAAGTGGTACCCAGCTATCACAAAACTACTGAGCTCTGCGTAGATTCTCCGCATTCGTATTAATTAGTACTTTACTTCTGCTGCTGTCGACGAGGAATGTGTGGCTTTCATTAAAACCTACCACTCAATTTTCTCCTAATATGATTAAGGCACGCAAGTGAGGGTACAGCTCTGACGTACATGTGAGAAACCCCCACCGAGGGCCTACCCTCAAGGGAGGGGAAATGCTATGATATTTTTAAATGTGAGAAATCCAATTTAAAGTCCTTTGCATCTTAACCAAGTACTTTTCTCTAACTTCTAACTCAACAATGAAAAGTAGAGAGTAGCTGTGAATGTACAGCAAAATGAATAGAAATTGGAAATAAATAATATACAGAGCATGTTATCTTCAATACCATGCACTTATACCCCCTTCCTGCCCAGGCCAATTTTCAGCTTTCAGCGCTGTCGCACTTTGAATGACAATTGCGCTGTCATGCAACACTGTACCCATATGAAATTTTTATAATTTTTTTTCATACAAATAGAGCTTACTTTTGGGGGTATTTAATCAACACTGAGTTTTTTATTTTTTGCTAAATAAAAAAAAAAACACCTGAAACTTTTTTTAAAAAATGCACTTTTCTTCGTTTCTGTTATAAAATTTTGCAAATAAATAACATTTCTTCATAAATTTAGGTCAAAATGTATTCTGCTCTGCTCTATTATGCCTTTTTTATTGGTGCAATTGATAGCCCCTGCGTGGGTGTGTTTTGTTGCCTCTGTTTTATACTGTTTAAAATTAATAAAAACCATTGAAATACAAAAAAAAAAATGTATTCTGCTATATTTCTTTGGTGAAAATAATAATAAAAATTGAATTTGTATTTTTTTCAAATGTTTCTATTATTTTTTTTTTTTTTTTTTATTACATTTGTTCTTTTTTTCACTATTTTATTTTTAATATTTAGCTAAGACCAAGAACACGGGGACAGGATCACAAACTAGCAGGAGAAAAGTTCAAAACTATTCATAGAAAGTATTATTTTACGGAGTAGTTGATACCTGGAATAGACTTCCAGCAGAAGTAATGAGTCTGTCAACAGTAAGCAGATTCAGACATGCATGGAACAAACCAAGCGTTTTGAAAATGCTTACCTTAGAGCAACATACTCTACATTGTTCATGTTTCCATGGATAGCTTTCCACACCAGCTAAAGACTTGGTTCACACTGCTGCAATAAAAAGCGGTGTGACTTGACTGCAATTTCCTTGCAACTTGCTTGCGACTTCTGTGATTTACCATTGCAGTCTATGGCACTCAAGTCTCAGAAATGTCACAGAAAAGTAGTGCAGGAACCTTTTTTTTTTTTTTTTGTTGCTCTGACTTGAGCCGCATTGCTTAAAACGGCGCACATTGAAATAAATGTGTTTTGACTTGTCATGTGACTTTATGTGTCACAAGTCACATGATAAGTCACAGTAGTGTAAACCAAGTCTAAGGGCTCATGCATGATGGAAAGATGTTGTCATATGTTATGTTTTGCAACTGAACCCATGTAAAACCTGCATATATAACCTGCTTTGCCTACAATACAAACACATTTCAATTGGACCTGCTGGGTCCCAAAACCAGGAAAATATGAGAGACTGCCAGGTTTTAATATGGACAACTTCCAGGCTTGTCATATATATTATATACACTGCATATATATATATATATATATATATATATATACACATATATATATATATATATATATATATATATACACATATACTAAGGTTGCCACCTCATCCCTTTAAAACCGAACGCATATTAATTACACAGGTTCTCTGGCAAATTTAAAGCAGATAAGGCACCAAGTGAGTTAATCAGCCACAGTGTAATTAGTATGTGCTCAGTTTTAAAGGGATGAGGTGGAAACCCTAATATATACATAGTATATGTATGAATAAAAATAAGTGATGAGCTTGGGCATGCTCAGTTGCTGTCCCAAACCCACATCCAAAGTCCACCAGGAAGGTTGTCCACTGTAATGAACTAATAATTCATGGCAGGGGCTAGGGTTGCCACCTCATCCCTTTAAAACCAAACACATTAATTACATAGGTTCTGTGGCTGATTAAGGTGGTAATTAAACTCACTTAAAGGATAAGTTCACCTTTGGGAAAATGTTACATGTTCCACCCGTTTTTAGGCTGGAACATTTTCCATGTTCCCATAGCCGCAGCAGCACCCACCGTCCCCCTCCCTCTGAGAGATAATACCGGGACAATTTTCGCCATACTATCTGTCAGATTTGAAAACAGCATGGCTGTGCTGGCTCCACCTACATGGCCGCATCACTCATTCACAGAGTTCTGTGAATGAATGCCTACAAATCCCAGCAGCCTTAGCGACTATTGGCTTGTAGTTTTCAATGAACTACCAGGGTGCTGTGGAGTGTTGTGGTAGTTCATTGAAGCTTCCTGTCAGAATATCTGTTTACTCGTACATCCAATACAGCTAGCAGATATTCTGACAGGTCTGCAGGAGACCTGCATGGCATCAGCGATCTACTGATTGCTGGTGCAATGCTTTCCAGGCTCCTTTGGACAAAAATTATAAATGCACATTTTTTACCTGCAAAAAAATGTGCATTTATTATTTTTGTCCAAAAGGTGAACTTATCCTTGAATGCCTTGTCTGCATTAAATTAGCCTCAGAACCTCTGTAATTAACCACTTGGCAACTGCGCTATATCCAATTGATAGCTACAGCGCGGTTACCTAGTTCTGGGAGGGCATCATATGACGTCCTCCCAGAAGGCGCCCTCCCCCGTGTGCCCCCAGCGGCATGCACCCAGCAATCTCCATGATCGCTGTGTCCTATAGACACAGCTGATCACATGATGTGGTAAAAGGCCAATCACAACGGCCTTTTACCACATGATCAGCTGTGTCCAATGACACAGCAGATCAACGGGTAAATGCAGTTGCCGGTTATTGGCTGCACTTTCCTCACACTGTCACAGCGTGAGGAAAGTACTGCTGATAACCGGTAATTGTCGGAGAACAGTTTGGCACTGATAATTAGTACCCTGATGACCAGTACCCAGCAGTGCCACCCACCAGTACCACCCAAAAAAGTGATATTAAGCATATATAAATGCAAAACGTTGTATAGCACACAATTATAAATCACTATGCATAAATAGGTTCATAAATTCGATTCCATAGGTAAAGTTGTGATGATAGGTGACAGTCTATAGGTAGCCAGCAAACGGTATTCGTGACATCAGTGATAAAAAATGAGAATATGTTGCACTAACCAGAAAGCGCTATATTAAGCGCATGAAAATGATGAGGTCATCTGGGTATGAACATCTGGACCCGGGTGTTCTAACTGGCAGCAGCATGTATCACAGTATGTCAGCAGGGCTTCTGAATAACAGAGTTCTGATTGGAGACCACCAGAGGGAGCCAGCAACCAGGATCTCTTCAGACTTCTTAAAACCAGGTTTCCTGAAGTGTGTGATATGTACAGAGACCAGCAGAGGGAGATAGAGCTCTGGAGAGCATCCAACGGTTCCCTTAGGGCAGGGGTGTCCAAACTTTTTTCAAAGAGGGCCAGATTGGATGAAGTGAACATGGTGGAGGGCCGAACATTTTTCCGAACATTCTTTGAACCATTACAATTAAATGCCAATAAATTATTTTATGCCAAGTTAATTGCAAACGACATACTTTTCATTTCATAACATTAAGATCAACTGAGTTTTCACAATGTATTGAAAATAAATTTAAAAAAAAACTTACCTGCACTAATGTGAAGGGTGAAAAAGGTAGCTGGAGCTGGAGTCTCTGCTCGGGAGCCGGGAGGGGAAGAGAAACACACTTCACGCTGGAAGCCCGGCCCTGACGTCACTGCCCTCTGTCGCTCCCAGCGCGGCGCAGTCACGCATGCGCACTGCTCTCAAGCAGAAGACTGTCTGCCACAGAAGGGAGGGCCGTGCGACAGCCGCATTTACACAGACCAGGGAGAACGCGCCGCAGTCAGGTATGCGCACTGCCCTCTGCTCTCAAGCAGAAGACTGTCTGCCATAGAAGGGAGGGCCGTGGGAGGGCCACATTACACAGAGCAGGGAGGGCTGTTGGAGGGCCGTATTAAACCGACCCCGGGCCGTAAATGGCCCGCGGGCCGGACTTTGGACATGCCTGCCTTAGGGAAAATAGGCTCAAGAAAAAAGAACCAAAAAAATATATCTTAGTGCAACATTGTTTTATTATGGTGCAGAGAAATAACAAAAATAAAACTCACATGAAATTGCAAACAGCCTTATGGCCAAAAGAGAAGTCCACGTGGATGGAAAGGTCATTGAGGGCATCCACCACCTTTCCATGAATTATCATCAGTGCCACCCATCAATGCCCAGCAGTGCTGCCAGTCAGTGCCACCCATCAGTGATGCCTATCAGTGCCCATCAGTGCCACCTATCAGTGCTCATCATTGCTGCATATCAGTGCAGCATCATCAGTGCCGCCTCATCAGTGCCAGCTCATCAGTGCCGCTTATCAGTGCCCATCAGTGCTGCCTATCTGTACCACCTCATCAGTGCCCATCAGTGCTGCCTATCAGTGCAGCCTCAGCATCGCACATCGGTGAAGGAGAAAAAATACCTGTTTGCAAAATTTTATAATAGAAACAAAGAAAAACTTTTTTTTAAAAAAATTTGTTTGCTCTTTTTTTGTTTATAGTGCAAAAAAGAAAACACCCAGCGGCGATTTAAAAACTACCAGAAGAAAGCTCTATTTGTGAGAAAAAAATGATTAAAATGTCATATGGGTACAGTGTTGCATGACCTCGCAATTGTCATTCAAATTACGACAGCGCTGAAAGCTGAAAATTGGCCTGGGCAGGAAGGGGGTATAAGTGCCCGGTAGCCAAGTGGTTAATATGTGTTCTGGTTTAAAGGGATAAGGTGGCAACCCTAGCGGGGGCATGTTTACATATAGCTGCAGGGTGGAGAATGCCCCTGCCCCAGATGATTGGTCCATTACAGGGGACAGCTTCCTGGTGTTCGGTCATGTGGGTTTGGAAGATCGTCTGAATATGCCCAAGCTCATCTCTAGTAAAGATGCAGCTAGTGTCTGTTTCAAAAATGAAAGGATCCCTGCAGGGGCAGACTGACAACTCATGGGGCCCCCAGGCAATAGGGGATCATGGGGCCCCTGTATCCTTGCCCAAACTCAAAAAAGCCTATGAAAAAGGTACCAGGGGCATCTCATGGGGCCCCCTACTGACCCCGGGCCCTCAGGCAGTGCCCGAGTTTCCAAATGGTCAGTCCGCCCCTGGGTCCCTGAACAGGAGTTATACTGATTGGAGACATGTGAGTGTTGTCCACAATAGACCGTATTCCCAAGTCAGTCAGTGCTCTCTCTTCAGGAGACACATTGCTGCAGGAGCGTGTAAATACACACAATAAGTGGGATATATTTTGTGCTGCTGTAATGATAAACTCTATCTAAATCCATTGTTGATAATCCTTTTCATAATCTCTCTCAACTACTGCAATTTCCTTCAGTCTGGTGTTCTGTTAGGCTCCGTTCACACCAATGTGTTTTTAGTGCTTTTTGCAGAAACGCACTACAGTCCATTTAACATGGTTTCCTATGGAACATATTCACATTTATGCTTTTTTGAGCTGCTGCATTTTTGGAAAGGCTCAGGGACTTTTTTTAAAAGCAAAAAGCAGCATTTTTGCTACAATAGAGTTCAATGGAGAAGCTACTGAAATGCATGGTAGTGCGTTTTTGCCACATTTTTGCTGCGTTTTCCATTTTTATTCTGCCCAGCAACAAAAAAAAATTCACTTTAACAAAAAAAAAAAAAGGAGCTGAACAAAATGCAAAACATGGTAAAAAGCGTCAAAAACACATGTAGAAAAACGCAAAACAAACTGCAAAAAGCACTGGAGAATGCATCAAATGCAAAATACATATATGTGAGCCAAGCCTAAAATAGACTCACATCTCTATTATCAATCAAGAATGTTACAGAAAGACTTGCTAACCCCACCACCACTGACACTCCTACTGTATCTGCTGCCTGTCAGTCATTCCCTTCTCTGGCTTTCTGTCAACCTGAGAATAAATATTCAAATTCTTAATGGCACTCCTTTTGGTCCTGAAATGTTAGTTTATCTAGAGAGAGACTTTCAAGGTTGAAGAAGCAAAGTGTGGGACTAAAAGGACAGATGTCCTTTAAAGTATGACAACAAAATATATAATTCTTAGTAGACTTTATCACCACAGGAAAGCTTTTTGTCCCCAAAAATGGTATACATTTCACTAAATTATTATAATTTATGACAAAGTTATTGCTTGACAAACATCCCCTAGCTATAATGTGAATTTTGCTCTGCTCCATATGGTGTAAACAGCTGCAAAAGCTGAACTTCCCAATATACAAGATACGGCGAGAATTAATAGATTACAGAACAATTGAAATAATTCAATCATAATAGACATACAGTATCACAGAACAGTGACAGCAGAAAAAAAGAGCACGTGCTGCCCCGCGTCTGCCTGATTTTTTTTAGATATTATTTTTTAAATTTCTGTTTACTTTTTTTGGCTTTGTCTAATCTATAAATTTACACCCCATTTGTAGTCACATCCAAGCCCCAATTTTTTACATGCCTCAATTATTCGGCCACAAGCTTTTGGAACAATAGACAGACATTTAAAGTGTTACTAAACCTAGGACCCTGCATTCACTATATCTGGTCTCCCACATTACACACGACATGGAAGTGCAATTATGTTAGTAAATATAAATTTCTGCTAAATACCTTTTTTTTCATCAGCAGTTAGAGCAGTCTTGTGGCTTCTATCAGTGTTCAGCAGAGCACTGGGTAAAGCTTGTAGGAAGAGTTTTCTTTCTGCTCTAGGAGGATGCAGAACCCCTGACCTCTGTCTGGACAGTGCTGATTGGCCCTGCGCTGATCACATGCACTCTCCCAAGAAAACAAAACTCTCTAGCAATACACACCAAACCGAGCATGTGTAGAGTGTCTCCACATGATATGTCTTATCAGGAGATAGGAGGGTGGCACTGAAAGAAGGGGAGGATCAGAGAAGTCTGGATCAAACAGCATTTTTACACAATGCAGAGGATTAACTACTTAGGTTCCACAGTGAATATATCAAGCATGCTTTACTGCATATAAAGACTGATTTTACTCTTGTGGGTTTAGTAACACTTTAAGGCACCAAGATATGCATAAATAGTTATTTGGAAAGTTATTTTATATAGTGATATAAAGTCTTGTTTAAAAAAAACAAACCAACAAGTCATACCTACCTGCTCTGGGCAGTGGTTTTGCACTGAGCAGCCCAGAGTCTCCCCTTCTCAGATCTCCCGCTGGCATTCCTGGCCCCTTCCTTATGACGGGTGCCCTGGCGCAAGCAGCTTTTTTCTTAGTTTCTGTTATAAAATGTTGTAAATAAGTTTTTTTTCTCCTTCACTGTTGTGCACTAATGAGGCTGCAGTGATGGGCACTGATAGGCTGCACTGATGGGCACTGATAGGCGGCACTGATGGGCACTGATGAGGCACTGCAGGTGGCATGATATGGCATTGACAGATACTGTGGGCACTGAAAGACTGGCAGCAATGATAGGTGGCACTGACTGGCAGCAATGATAGGCTGGACTGGCACTGGTAGACGGCACTGACTGACACTGTTAGGCAGCACTGACTGGCACTGTTAGGCAGCACTGATAGATGGAACTGATTGGCAGCACTTATAGGTGGCACTGAAAGGCATCTCAGATGGGCACTGATATGTGGCATTGATGTGCACTGGTAGGCACTGATATGTGGCATTGATGTGCACTGGCAGGTGGCATTGATGGACACGGAAAGGTGGCACTGATGGGGCTACACTGATCATCAGGGCACTAATCATCAGTGCCCTGATGATCAGTGTAGATGTCCCCTCTGAGGAATGCCGATTACCGGCTCTCCTCTCCTCACACACTGTCAGCATGAGGAGAGGACTGCCAATAACCAGCATATTCTTATTTACATGCGATCAGCTGTGATTGGACACAGCTGATCACAAGACAGAGCCGACGTCATCGGCTCATTCTGCTGATCAGTGATCCGCTGTGTCCCAGGGACTCAGCACAGCACCAATCTCCGCACTGTGCGCTCCTGGGGGCACACACACACGGTTAGAGTGGGAGGACATCATAAGACATCCTCCCAGAAGGAGAGAACTGCCGCCCGCCCATCATTTCCTTATATGGCGGGTGGGAGGCGGTTAAAGTCTTAAATTATTGCAAGATCTCTCAACTGAAGACAAGGAAATCCTGGAATACAGTAACTGTGCTGTTACACTTGTGTGAAAATACAATACAATGCATAGTAGTGGTTAACCGCTTGTCGACCAGAACAGTAGATACACTGCGGCAGGGCGGCACCGCTGCACAAAATCACGTTTATATAGGTGATTTCACATTTTGGATAGGGGGCGCGCACGAGGCACGCGACTGCCCTACCTGCGCCGCCAAACGCGGCCGCGGGTGTCAATCACCGGGTCCCAACCGGTGATTACCCGCTGGAGCCCAGCGATTACCAGCAAACCCTGACAGGGAGGAGCATTGTTTTCAATGCAGCTCTCCTCCCTGTCAGTGTGAGCACACTGGTCCAGATGGCTGAGCTCAGCCTTCCAGATCAGTGTGCTTACAGTGAAGCAGACACCCCCCACCCCCTAGTGAAACACTCCCCTCACACAGTTAACCCTTTCATTGCCTTCTAATGTTAACCCCTTCCTCCCTAGTGCCATTAGTACAGTGTCAGTGTTTTCTTTTTTGCACTGATCACTGTATTGGTTTCACTGGGGATGTCAGTGATCTCAAGTCAGTTCCCCCCTTCCCAGTGACAGAATGTCAGCCGCAGTACCACTATAAGTCACTGATCATCGCCATAAGTCGCTGATCACCGCCATTATTAGTATAAAATAAAAAAATTGCAGTATATATACCACCATTTGTAGACAATATAACTTTCACGAAAACTAATTAATTTACACATATTGGCATTTTTTTTTACCACAGACATGTCGCAAAATACATTTTGGCCTAAATTTATGACGAAATTTGATTTTTAATTTTTTTTACTGGACGTGTTTTATAGCAAAGTACAAAATATTGTTTTTCTCAAAATTGTCGGTCTTTTTTTTTATTGTGCAAAAAATAAAAAAACAAACAGGTGATCAAATACCACCGAAAGAAAGCTCAATTCGTGGGGAAAAAAGGACGTAAATTTAATTTTGGTGCAGCGTTGCATGACCGCACAATTGTCAGTTAAAGCAACGCAGCGCCGTAACACAAACTGCTAAAAGGTAAAAAATGGTGCAAAGAAAATCAATCAATGTCCAATCAATGAGCAAGAGGGTACATTGGCTCTCACATGACTTGACAGTTGTTAGTTCATTTGATGGTACACGAGAGCTTTGCAGTCCACTTTTCTTTGGTATCAAGGAGGTGTGGTCAGAGACCATCTGACCAATTAAGCAGCTGAGGCATAGCCATGGGATATCACTATGTTTATGACTGTATCATAGTCCTCCCCTACACACAGTTTTGAACTGAAATTTATATCTGCAAATATGTACAGGTTGCATTCTGGAAACTGGTAGATGATTTTTCAGCATTCAATTTTATGTCCAGGGATACTAAACACAGGGTATCTTGAATGGGCCTGTCACCCAGGAGGTATCTGACTGCTCTCTCACTTTCTATATACTATAGCTTAGTCAAATGTGATCTTGATTTGTTCGGTATGATATTCGCCATTCAAATATATACCTAATATTGATGTGTCTTGGTCCTGTGATTTTATGAATTGTGTGTAGAGTTTTTTTAAATGGTGAGTTGGGCAAGGGTCTCTGAAAGGTTGCCTCAAGCCTGACTGCTTTATGATATCCATTAGCCCTGGTTAAGACACTTTACTGCGCAATGTGTATTTCTAATCTTTTTATTTTTGTTAAATAACAAACATGTCTATACTTACCTACTGTGTGCAGTGGTTTTGCACAGAGCAGCCCAGATCCTCCTCTTCCTTGGTCCCCCACAGGATCTCCTGTGCCCCCCTGTCTGTCGGGTGCCCCCACAGCAAGCGACTTGCTATTGGGGCACCCACTGCTCTGTGTGTCCATTCACACACAGAGCCGTGGCTTAGCTCCACCCCCTCTTTCTTCTCATTGGCTGACTGGCTGTGATTGACAGGAGAGGGAGCCAATGGCTCCCGCTTGCTGTCTCAGCCAATGAGGAGGCACTGACCTGGGACAGCCGAGGCTGTCACTCACATCGCCAGATCGGGATGAGGTAAGTATTGAGGGGGTTGGGGGAGCTGCTGCACACAGAAGGTTTTTTCCTTCATGCATAGAATGTATGAAGGTAAAAAACCTGCAGCCTTTATATAATCACTTGAAGGATTTTTTGACTGTGTTATGATGGGTCAGCAGACATGAACAGACATCCTTCCAGAACTTCAATTAGACATTTACATCTCTGGTAGATGCCTGTGTTCTGGTGTCTACTGAGATAACAGGCACTTTGTGAAAAGGCTATGGAGGTGCATTCCTAGGTATTTGCTGCTGCAATGTGTAATTGTTCTACAAAAATGTCATGGCCGACCTATGATTCTTGAACAACATAGCTGACAGACACAGCTTTCTGTGTGCCCAGTACATGATATCATTACACAGATCTCTCTACTAACAGTGGGCATGTGCTTATTTTTATCTCCCTGCAAAGCATTCTTTAGCATACTTGACAACAGTCACAAATTGCCCGGGATAGTCCCGAATATTGAACCAATGTCCTGCTGGAAGCTTGTCCCGGGCAGAATCCCAAATATTTTGATCTGTCCCAGACAACTGACACGGACCACATAAACACTGACAGATCGCTCCCCTACTCCACCTCCAGGAAGTCAGGTAATGCTTTCCTCTTTACTTGATTGGTTAGTATTAGTGAGGAGGTGTGGCCAACCGAGGGTGATCACGCCAGCCCACCTTAAGCCGATCACTTCCAGGAGCATGTCAGGAGGCTGAGGAGACAGCCTGGACACATTGACTGTCAGAGCGGCTGCGAACCGGCCAGATGCCACTCAATAGCTGGGGGGTTTGAGTTGTGCAGAAGAGTACATGTGCCAGGGGGTGCTGAGGGTATGGAGGCATACTGAAAGATACAGAGAATTCTAGGGGGTGGAGAGGTGTACCAGGGGGTACATAAGAGTGCTGGGGTGCAGAAGCATGCTGGGGGGGTTGTAGAGGCCTGCTGGGGGGACATGCTGGGGAGTACGAAAGCATGCTGGGGATGCAGAGGTGTACTGAGGGTACAAAGGCTTGCTGGGGGTACGGAGGTATACTTGAAAATACAGAGTATTCTGAGGAGTGCAAAGGTGTGTGGGGGGTATGGAAGTGTGCTAGGGCTGTGGTGTGCAGGGGGGGGGGGGGGTGCAGAGATGTGCAAGGGGGTATGCAGGTGTCCTGGGGGTACAGGGATTTTCTCGGAGTACAGAGATGTGCTGGGGGCACGGAGGCATGCTAACGGGTTCAGAGATGAGCTGGGGAGGATGAAGTGTTCTGGGGCTAAAAGGATGTGCTGGTGGGTATGGAGGTGTGCTGTGCTATTTGTGGAGCATACTGTAATATATGTGGTGGAGAAACTCTAATATCTATGGTGGAACTGTAATATTTGTGGAGCATACTGTAATATTTGGGATTACTGTACTCTGACCATTACTTGTGCCATGTACACAGTCTCTGACCATCCCTTGTGCCATGTACACAGTCTCTGACCATCCCTTGTGCCATGTATGCAGTCTCTGACCATCCCTTGTGCCATGTACGCAGTCTCTGACCATCCCTTGTGCCATGTATGCAGTCTCTGACCATCCCTTGTGCCATGTACGCAGTCTCTGACCATCCCTTGTGCCATGTATGCAGTCTCTGACCTTCCCTTGTGCCATGTATGCAAAGACTCTGACCATCCCATTGTGCCATGTATGCAGTCTTTTATCTTCCCTTGTGCCATGTACGCAGACTCTGACCATCCCATGTGCCATGTACGCAGTATTTTATCTTTCCTTGTGCCATGTACGCAGACTCTGACCATCCCATGTGCCATGTACGCAGTATTTTACCTTCCCTTGTGCCATGTACGCAGACTCTGACCATCCCATGTGCTATGTACGCAGTATTTTATCTTCCCTTGTGCCATGTACGCAGACTCTGACCATCCCATGTGCCATGTACGCAGTATTTTACCATCCCTTGTGCCATGTACGCAGACTCTGACCATCGCATGTGCCATGTACGCAGTATCTGACCATCACTTGTGCTATGTACTCAGTCTCTGACCATCTCTTGTGCTATGTACACAGTCTCTAACCATCCCTTGTGCCATGTCTGCAGTCTCTGACCATCCCTTGTGCCATGTACACAGTCTCTACCATCTCCTGTACTATGCCTTGTGCCCTCTGTACGCCTGCAGTCTCTGACCAACTCCTTATGTGCCCCTACGCAGTCCCTGACCATCTCCTGTACTATGCCTGCATTCTCTGACCAACTCCTGTACTACGCCTGCAGTCTCTGACCCTCTCCTGTACTATGCCTGCAGTCTCTGACCAACTCTTATACTACCCCTGCAGTCCCTAACCCTCTCCTATGCTATGCCTGCAATCTCTGACCATCTCCTGTACTACGCATGCAGTCTCTGACCATCTCCTGTATTATATCTACTGTGTCTCACACTCTCCTGTACTATGTCTGCAGTCTCTCACCATCTCCTGTATTACACCTTCAGTCTCTGACCATCTCCTGTAGTATATCTACTGTGTCTCACCCTCTCACCATCTCTGGTACTATGCCTTCAGTCTCTGACCATCTCCTGTACTATGCCATCAGTCTCTTGCCATCTCCTGTACTATGCCTTCAGTCTCTGACCATCTCCTGTACTATGCCTTCAGTCTCTCACCATCTCCTATACTATGCCTTCAGTCTCTGACCATCTCCTGTACTATGCCTTCAGTCTCTGACCATCTCCTGTACTATGCCTTCAGTCTCTCACTCTCTCCTCCTGTACTATGCCTTCAGT